CTTTACAGAAAGTAATCTATAGGACTATAACAAAACTGTATTTCAAAAATATACAATACAACCTAAAAGCTGACTCAGGTAGCTGTCAGACAGGCCGGTTTTGTTTTATCTTTAGACATGAGCTCTTGTATTAACTTATCAGATATAACTAACAAATGGAGCAGTAAGAATTGTTTTGCAGAAAGGAATTTTTGGTTTGCGTCTAGAGGAGAACGCGTGGACACAAGAGTTAATTGCTGGCATTTTAAAAACACGTTTCATCTTTTACCTATCTCCCTGTACTGATAGGGGCAGGCCTCCTCTGTCATCCCTGGCTTTTCATTTTTATCCGTAATACGCAGAATTTGGAATCGTTTTTAACATTGAATGCTACCTACATTTATCATGAATATTTGACTGATTAGAGAAGTGGTAATTGGAACAGGCAGGGACTGTAGTTTGAATGAGGCTCTTGGTGGGTGCGTTCCCTGTCAGTGTAATGTGGGAACACACTGGCGGGATTTTGCTTTGGACGTTAGTCAATGCTTTCAAGCACACAAAACTGACCTCAACGGAACAAGACAACAGCACAGAGTTACACACACACAGTTCTATACAGTCCGCTTGTGCCTTGGAGGGATAGTATTATTATCATTAATAATAAAAAACACAATTTGTCCCAGTAGTACTGGCCACCCTGTTTTAAGAGTTTTAGAAGATCCCTGAGCACATGTTTTCTGACTCTTAACCCCAACTCCAAAATGATAGGGCTTCTATCGTTGATGCTAAGATGGATTGTCTTTCACAGTAAGTCAATCATAAGGTGCTTATTTACCCTTTTTTTTTTTTCACCAATCAGCACAAAGAACTGTCAGAAAATAACCTTTTATTATTATTATTATCTTAAAATAATAGCACTGGAAGGACACATGATTTAAACAATCAATGTTGGAAACAGTGGCTTTAGGATAATTATCTGGCTGCCTCTCAACAATAACAAGTGATTCGATCGACATTCCTTAGCCAAAAACAAAAGGCAGAACAACAACAACAAAAAAAAACGAAAACGAAAACGAAAAAAACCCAAAAAACTGTACAAATATGTATTTTTTTCCCTGAGGGATCAAGTACACCTGCAAGTGCTCTATGTACATATTGCACTAGAGAGGGATGAAGTTCATGTGCAAAAAAAGCAACGATGAGAGAAGCTTACCTACTACTGAAACCTTTTCCTTATAAGTTCCTACTAGGTTGTTTTGCATCTTGGAATGTCGGAACACAACAGCTAGCTAGTCCTTAGTCTAAAACTAAAAACACACATTGCTACTATGGCACATTCAATGAAATAAAAAGTTTCCCAAAGACAGATAGACAAATTCCATCAAGAAAATAATACAAAGTTTGTTTGTTTGTATTTTTTTTTTTAGAAAATTACATTACTTTCTTTCTTTGTTTCACATTACAAAATCTTTTTTTTTTTTCTTTACACAAATCACATTTTATTGCAGGAATATTTCAAGTGCCATCAAATATTTATAGAAGGGTTAAAAAAATAGAAGTCTCTCTAAAGTGGTCCAGACAAGGCTTTGTATAGAATAAATCTTTTTTTTTTTCCATCTTCTAGTTTTGATTTAAGTATTTTGAATACATTTTCTTTTCCATTGACACTTAGTAGCCTAGAAGCGGTCCAGCACACACACCCATCATACACACGCAGATCGCACACCCGCAGACACACACACAGACACACACACTCTCCTTCACCTGACTCTCAGCCCATCTCCACACGCTCACGAATATCTGGGTATCCGCACCGTAAAGAACAACCAAACTTAGAAGCAGTGTCTTAAGTCATATTTTTCTTAAGTCATAAAGGGTGAATTAGGATGCTGAAGACTCGAAAAAAATCCATACTTCTAACACAAATTAAGATGCTGAACACTTAAAAAAAATCCACAGCTTTCACAGAATTTGCAAACTGTCCAATCTGCACTTTGGTTTGCATTGTGACCAAGGAGGGTTTTTTTTTTCACAATGTAATACAACCAAGTGGACAACACTGTAACAGAAGGTCTTCGGGCTCTGTACAAAAGCCTCACGTACCTTACGGAAAAACAATCGTATAGGTAGGGCATGACAGTGGCCGGGTTAACAGTGACGTGGGTCCAATCCTTCAAAGATTATCATTAGACAGTTAAGTTTAGGAAACTTTAATTGTAAGAACTAATTAAGAATTTTGGTTCTGATATCACCAAATAGTTTGTGTCACTGCACAGGAGTTTTTATAATAAGGAAGAAAATAAAAATGCAAAGTTTCTCATATCCTATTCTGGACTCCATAGTTTTTCAACTAAACTTATTATTTAACTTCAGATCCCAACGGTAGTCAGCTGTTCCCTCCTCATTTCACCCAACATGTCTGTCTCGACTATTCTCTTCCCATCCTGCTGATGAAGCAAGTCCAGGCCTGCTTTTCTTTCAGAAATACCTAGAAGCCGCGTGATGTTACTCTATCTTGGCTTCCCATAAAAACAGTGTCACCATCTTGGTTTACCGTAAAAGCAAATGTCACCGTGGCATGACTATCACCGACGGCGTTGGAGTCTCATGTTTTTTTTTTGCATTAGGAATATGCAGAATCCTTTCTGGGAAAAGGAATTTCTTTGAAGTTCAACATTACGTTCTCTCTCTCACCCTTAGAGAAGTTCAATCAGCTCTTACTGTTTCACACACGGACACTGGAATTAGGTTTAGTCGCTCTTTGATGCACTAGCACCTGAAGCTGGTCATATTCAGAAAGCTTTGGTTAAAAAGAAGTTAATATACTTTACTAAAACCATCCCCAAATTTAGTGAATCTAAGTGGCAAAAAAAAAAAAAAAAAAAAGAGTAAAACAAAAAAAACCCTTCAAAACAACACCACACCATGTTCCCCCAAAGGAGAAAAACAGGGACAAATAAATAACTAAACTAAGCTGGGTACTCTTACCAGAGTATAAATACTATTGATCTTTAAAGGAACTATGTTTACTTATATTAAAAATTTGATTTAACCCTTCTTGCCCAAATATAAATACTATATGCTGACAGCCTCTCTCTATAAACACTCACATACAATTGTACATGCCTGTAAGAAATTTAAAGGAATATTAATCTTGTCTTCCCTTACTATATTTTTGAAAAAAAAAAAAATTTTTTTTTTTTTGGATGTTATTTAGGCTTCATACACATGTCTGTGGGAATAATTCTGTCTTTTTTTCCAAAATCCCTCAGAAACCAAGTCAGAAATTCAGTGTAGTTAAAAACAGAGGGACGTGCTCCGAGGAGCCCACCCTGGCGGCCTGGCATGGCATTAGCAGGCGAAATTCCCGCGGAAGATTCTGGAGGGACCCTCGTGGCAGAGGAGACTCTTTCTCCAATATACAGGGCAGCTTAGAAAATGCCTCCCTTTACAGCCTTGGAAGATGCTCCCTTTTCGGTACAAATGTGGTCTCTGATGACAGATAAGCAGTTTGAATCCCACATCTCGCGTGACTAGAATCATCTTCTAAATGCCTACATTCCCGAAAGGTCACTTGTTTTTAAAATATGCATACTCCCCCCACTGGGGATTATTAAAACAACAATAACAACAACATGAAATTAAATTAAAAACTCTCAATATTTCTCCCCTGAACACAAAAGCCAAACCATCTTCTAAATATTTAGTAAAATAAATTACAGTCCACAGTTTTCTGGTAAAGATAAATACAAGAGTCAATGTTTGCAGCTAGCATCAACTTCACTTTAAAGGCTTAAAGGATTTACTCTTTAAATGAGAGAGACTGGTTCGAAACGGTGGGCCTCCCCCACGTTCCTATCCACTGTCTAGCGACTATGAAGGGCAATATTCTGGCGTTATAACATTTATGGACAGGAAGAATTCAGAATTCGTTCATCATGAGATCAACTTTTAGGGTTCCTAGATTATACCAGAACATAAACATTCACAGAGGAAAGGCTTCATGTCCTCCCCTGGGGAGTATGCGTGTGCTTCTGATAGAATCTTTGGGTCCTTCTACAATGAAAGCGAGATTCCAAAGATATGGGTTACTGATTGGTTCTCAAAGCAAAAAAAAAATGGCAAGTTTGAGACTGAGTCCATGTAACTACTGAATTGGGTAAAATTTGCCTCCCCTTCTCCCCTCCGTGAAGTGGCATTTTAAAAAGCTTTAAAAGGAAAAGCGGGCATGATGGTCTCCGACCACAGCACCGATCCATCATCCAACTTTGTATGAAGCATAAACACATCTATCTTTAAACCTGCCAACAAGCGAAGTATCCTTTTCGGAAGAGCTCCATTTCTAATCCCAAATTCACACATGAAAACAAAAATCCAACGTGGTGATTTCTAGATATGACCAGCCAGTCTTTTAAAAGTCATTTTGTAAACAGCAGCAGCATAAAAACCTCCGACGTACCTTCCAAGCCTTCTCAGTTAAACTTGTGTTTCTGGTGCACATGCGACACGACAGTGAACACGCTAGCATTTAATTTAAAGAAAAAAGGTGCAAAATGAAAGTGCCTTATCAATTCAACAGGAAAAGCTACACCAGTAACTACATTTTATATTAATTAAAACAATATATAAACAATATCTCTTTTAGCTATATATAGTCTTCATGCCCATTTACCCTGTAATATATTATAATGCTATTGTTGCTACTGCTATGGACCCTTTTCATGCCATCCTGCTGACTGACAAGAATCGGTGAAAAAAATAAAAACTTCCTTCATGAGCCAAAGAGCAAGTTGTGCAAAGTAATGCCGCCACCTCCGCTATGCACACCGGTCACCAATCATAGCTGGACTCTCTGTTGTTACCGACCGATGGGTGACTCTGCAGAAAGTCTGTGGGCAGTGAGCTACAAGAAAAGGAAATCCTCCGACTTTAGTACCCGCCTTCTGTTGTAAACAGAGGTCAAAGACTGAGAAGTGGAGACAGAAAAAGGGTCCATATCTGTAGGCATAATGGAAATCATATGCATGAGAAAAACAAGTTCAACTTTTATTTGTTTTCAGTTTCCCCTCCTTTGCCTGACCCCGATCACCAAAAGGTGTGCAGTGTGTGGGCCTCCAGGTCTGTGCAGGGCCATGTAAAGTGTCTCGGTTAATTTTTTTTGTTTTTTTTTTTTTCCAGGTGTGTACTTCAGACATTCTAGAAGTGCTTAGGTGATACATTTACCCATCGATTTGCATTGCTGGCTCAAATTCTGAAGTGAACAACTCCTTGTATAATGGAGGAAAATGAAGTCGCACAATGTCTGGGTATATTGCTTTAAATGCCATTAGCTTTTCTGTATGTCGTCCGCATAAGGCTCTTAATGTAGAGACCTTGCATATTAACTGTAAGTGGAAAAAAGGACACGTCGTCAGGAGAGAACAGGCATGAGAATCAAAGATCAGGGAGTCAGGATGGGCTTTACGACACTGTTTATAATGGTGAAACACATGTGAAAGGTACAAATACCTCTAGTTACCAGAGAACTGGTAAAAATAAAAGATTGCACAGTTCTATCCTGAAATGCCAGGTAGACGTTCCATATTATTTTGAACATAAACAACTTAACCTATAGATGTGTTCATAAGCCCAAGCTGGCTCAGATAGTCAGTGGTAGAGTTGAGAGGGGAAGTTAAATCTTCTGATTCTTTTTTTTTGAGACAGAGCCTCAAGCTGTCCCCTGGGTAGAGTGCTGTGGCATCATAGCTCACAGCAACCTCCAACTCCTGGGCTCAAGTGAGTCTCCTGCCTTCAGCCTCCCAAGTAGCTGGGCCCA